GAATCAAAGTGCTAGAAACGTTTGTTGATACAATTATATTGGAAATTCGTCGCGTACAATTTGAACAAAATGGCGATGTCTCTCGGTCTCCCGCCGCCTGAACCGCTTAAAATACTGGAAGGAAATACTTCGATAAAATGGAAAAAATTTAAACAGAAATGGACAAATTACGAGATTGCTACAGGAGTTGCAGAGAAAGAAAATCCGACGAGAGTTGCTACATTCCTGACAGTGATTGGGGAAGAAGCGGTCGATGTTTATAACACATTTACTTGGGCCACAGTGGGCGATAACCTGAAAATAGACAAGGTTTTGGAGAAATTTGATGCCTTTTGCAACCCAAGAAAGAACACTATATATGAACGCTATGTGTTTTTTTCGAGAAACCAGGAAAATGGCGAGTCAATCGATCATTATGTAACTGTTTTAAAAACTTTGTCTGACACTTGTGAATTTGGGAACTTAAAAGAGTCCTTGATCCGTGACCCGCTTGTGTTTGGAATTCTAGATAATTCTGTTAGGGAAAGATTACTAAGAGACCCTGAGTTAACCCTGCAAACAGCAATTGAAAGAGTAGGGTCAGCTGAATTGACAAATGCACAATTAAAACAAATAAAAGCTGACCAGAAGATTACTGAGGAATTACCAATACATCATGTAAAATCAAACAGTGAACATTCCTATAAAAACCGTGAGCAGAATTTATTAACCCCAATTGTGAATTGTAAGTATTGTGGAAAAAACACCCAAGGGACAAAAATCAATGCCCTGCCTTTGGAGCAAAATGCCAGAAATGTGGGAAGTATAACCATTTTGCAGCCAAGTGCAAATCAAAGGCTCGCAGAACCCCCTGTGTAAATTATGTCGAAGAGGATGAGGCCCCATCTGAAGATGACTATACTATTAGTACTGTAATACATCATATTGGGGCTCTTAACAAAAAAAAAAGATCTATGACAATAAGATCCCAAAGCAGCTGTTTGCAACAATGAAAGTCAATGATAAGGTGAATATTAAGTTCCAATTACATTGTGGTGCAACATGCAATCTAATTCCACTAAAAGATTATGCTCGGGCTATGGGAAACCCTGAAGATGTCTATTTGCAAAAGAGCAATGCTACACTAACCATGTACAATGGAACAATCATGCGTCCTGTAGGCAAATGTAAACTAAAATGCACTAGAGGTGGTTCACAGCACACACTTGAATTTGAAGTGGTCGATAGTGATGTGAAACCTCTTCTAAGTGCTGAAACATGCCAAAAGTTATAGTTCTTGCAGGTTCTCGTGAATCTTTTGGTTTTTGGCCCGGAATGAACGCGGCAATCAAAGAACATGTGTCTGGCTGCGATACCTGTAATGCCTACCGAAAAGAACAACCCAAAGAGCCTCTTATATCACAACCGGTACCGGATAGACCATTGATAAGAGTGGCTGTTGACCTTTTCACGCTAGAAAGAAAAGATTATATCATAATGGTTGATGATTATTCAAATTACTTCGAATTTAATGTCCTAAATGAAACAACGGCTGCAGCAATCATCATGAGTTTAAAGTCACAGTTCGCAAGACATGGTATACCTGAAGAAGTGAGAAGTGACAACGGACCCCAGTTTGCCTCGACAAGTTTTGAGAACTTTGCTAGAGAATGGGAGTTCAAGCATATTACCTCATCCCCGTATTATGCACAATCCAATGGAAAGGTTGAGAACTCAGTAAAAACGGCAAAAAAGATCTTGAAGAAAGCTCAAGCTGACAAACGAGATCCCTACCTAGCGTTACTAGCATGGCGAAACACGCTGACCGAAGGCCTTGATTCATCCCCTGTGCAAAGATTAATGGGAAGAAGGACAAGAACCCCTCTCCCAACCTCAGCAAATTTGTTGAAACTGAAACTTCCCTGCATGGTGAAGGAACAGGTAACGAACAAGCGAAGAAAGCAAGCACGATACTATAATCGGGGGAGTAAACCGCTCCCGGAACTTAAACCAGGAGATGTCGTGCGAATACGACCAGATCCAAATAGTTCCGACAAGACGTGGAGAAGTGGAGTTTGCTCCTCGACCATACGGAAAATATGGCCTTGCAAAGTTTGCAAATTTTGTATACTTTTGTATTGCATGCGAAAATTGCAATACAAAAGTATACAAATCCACAAGTATTGGGATGAATTAGACTTACGACCATTATGAACCACTCATATTTGAGTAAAGAATATAATATACACTTAATGTCTGCTCCCGAGGGAAATAGTTAGTTTTGTTTTCCCGAGAATCTCAATGTTTCCCGAGACGAAGTCGAGGGAAACATTAAGATTCGAGGGAAAACAAAACTAACTATTTCCCGAGGGAACAGGCATTAAGTGTTTTGTTATATAGCAACGAACAAAAATCAACTTCAACAACATTCATACAACAATTGTATTTTGTGACAAAAATCTATAGTGTAAACGAGTTTAAAATTAAAAGAACCTACTTAAACGGTTTCAGCAGCATATCTTGTTGCCTGTTGTGTATTTTTCTTCTCTTTTATATTCTTTTTTTGAACACAAACTTGGAAAATCGTAGGTTCTAATTATCTGAGTTTTGCCTCCATTTTGTTTATTTATGTACGTGGCTGGTCGGGGCGGGCAACAATTTTTCACTTGTTGCCCGGCGGGAAACGTTGCATTTATCTGAAGTCACATGACCACAAATCAGCCAATCACGTTTGGTGTTCACGCTAGCTATATAACAACATTGATTAAATCACTGTAAAAAAACTCTCTTGTTTGTGTTAGAATCTATATAATGTGTAGTTTATTGTGTAATTGCGCGAAATATTGAAATTTTGCGCCGTCGAATTTGTTTGCTTTTTGCATTTACCGCTCTATTGCATATTGCAGGCTCAAAGTCAAGATGGCGTCTTTTCGACAAATTGTACGGAAACTTTCATTTTGCTTGTGGACAGGGATAATTAACTTTTTGTTAACATTAAACATATACAGACATTCATATTGACATATATTTTTGTACCGAAACTAGCTTTTTGCACATTTACTAAATCTGCGCTTAAATGGCAAGAAATTCCTTCAAGATATTATGGAATATATGAACTCCTAAACGTATTATTAATTTATATAGATAAAAAAGTTCTGATTTAGGATAGCAAGTTAGGAACGTAAGTATCATACACTAAAGTCTTTCAGACGGGCAAATGCTGAATTGTTTATTACTATTTTCCTTGTCCGCAGCATCACTGGAAATATGGTAAGGAATTTTCCCTTTAAAATGGGGAAAAATATCACGTGACACGTTTCCATGGAAACATAAAGCTCTTACTGCTGTTGTACTCTTTTTACTGTTGATGGTACATTCAGTGATATGTTATGGCAATTTTAACCTGGACCCATGCATTAATCCCCCTGAGCAATATTTTGATATTACATCAATCTCTGATTTGATTAGCTTCAGATCCTTCATAGAGCTGTCTTTAAATTTAGTGAAGACATCATATTGATCACTAATGAACTGTATAGATTTTTTTTCGGATTCATTCAAAGATTTGATTTGTTCAGCAAGATGGCCACTTTCTTGTTTGACATATTTGTCAATTTTCTTGTCAAAAGCTTTAGTAACTTGACTTAGTTTCACATTTAATAGAGCTATTTCGTCTCTCAATGGACCATTCCCCAATTATAACCCAACAAGTCTAGACAAAAATTTCATCACAGCTTGAAAGAGTGTCACAAAATTAGTAATATTCCAAAGTTTCGTTGCAAAATGCTGTAAAATGCGGATAATATAGCCTTGCGAAGTTTGCAATTTTCAGTCATTTTAGATTACAAACGGGAAATGGTTACCACTTCTGTGCAGAATACAAAATGACTGAAAATTGCAAATTTCGCAAGGCTATATTATCCACATTTTACAACATTTCGCAATGAAACTTTGAAATATTACTAATTTTGTGATGTTCTTTCAAGCTATGATAGAATTTTGTCTAGACATGTTGAGATCAAAATTTTGGTTAATTTGGGAATGGTCCATTCACAATTTTCGTTTTTTAATTTTGCTGTTGCCATTTAACAAAGATTTTAGCACAATTTAATGTATAAAATAAACAGAGCAAAAAACAGTGTGGTACCACTAAGACATGGTGAGGTACGTACCCATGAGATAAAGTGTTATAAAAGATACCATTGTATGTTATGTATTTAATATTTTCATTTTATCTTCAAAACTTTACAGTAAAACTAATGACAGATGGACAATATTTTCAATATTATTGAACATTGTTAATGAGAATAAGTATATCTTTAAAAAGTTAACAAAGGTACATTCCATTCAGATTCCACCATTTTGTAGGGCAGAGAAATTTTGCCAAACGTTTTGTGATTGATCTTATAGTTAATAAACAGCTGCCCCCACCCACCTAAAGTTATGTCTTTGATTTCCACACTCAGTATGGACTAGTTTGGATCAGTGGCATAGCCAGAATGATAATTGCATGGAGGGTCCATATTCATATATTCGTGTTCTGCTTTATTAATTTCTTTTGAAATCAATTGTTTTTATGGTATGTGAACACAAATATATGAATATGCCCCCCCTCCCCCCCCCAATTATCGTTCCGGCTACGCCACTGGTTTGGATGGTCCAAACTCCTTAATTAGCTAAGGCCACACTGTGTTGCATATTTGTTTCTCATCCAGGACTGTCCCCAAAGGTTTATCCTAGCAAGTGGTCATTACCATTATTCCTTCATGTAAAGTTTTGTTTTTTATGCATGCTAGTACAATTTTAATTCTGTTTACAATTTTCATTCATTTGTGATATTAGCTGAAATGTAAAGCAATGCGTATTAAATGTGTTGCGATAAAAGCATCCGGATGGGTCCTCTGACTCCATATTTCTCCTCAGACCATTTATATGGAGAACCACTGGTGTATGCCCACAGCTGCAACATATGTTTTCTGAAAAGTGGATAATAAAAATCTTCAATATTTATGGTGCACAGTAAGTATTAAGTATTGAAGGTTAAACTAATTTTTCTTATAATAGATTTTGAACTTTTTGGTAACTATGTTTACTGGGTAATACACCTTATGCCATATTAAAGTTACTAAGTAGCGAGGTCTGATAATTCCCAACAAGATTTTGAAGACATTTGCATTCGAACTTGCACCTGGTGTTACTGACATCTACAATGCTTCAATGATACAAGGAAATTTCTCAGGGCACTAAACTTGGCCCTTATTCTCTTCACCATCCTTACTAACTCCCTTTTGAAAAATTGGTGGGGGCAGGTAAAGTTCTTTGATGACACCACATTGTTGGAGATTGTTTTGCGGTGTTCGCCTAGTATACTACATGTCATTGTTGACGAAATCTCTTTAATTTTGTATCGAATCGTGGAAAGGAACTTAATCCAACAAAGTGCAAGGAAATGGTTATATCTATCCTTAAATACAGTCTGAAATGTGATAATGTGATTCACATATCCGGATTGCCTGTTGAACGTGTTTCATTTTTTAAATTACTTGGCTTGTTATCTGATGATCTCTCATGGAACTGTCATGTGGACTACGTTATTAAAAAGGCAAATACAAGGCTTTCTGCGCTTCGCATACTTAAGAAAGCTGGTTTAAGTCAGTCGGAGCTTGTCAACATTTATTGCTCGTTTATAAGATCGAGAATTGAGTATGTTTCTCCAGCATGGTCATCTTTGATGGTTTACCTATCTGGTGTTATTTAATTAATTCAAAAACGGGCATTACAAATAATTTATCCTGACACATCTTATGAATTGGTTTGATCTGCACAGGATTGGAAACTCTTAGTACCCGTAGAGATAATTCTTGCATAAAATTTATTATTAAACTAAAGTCTGAGGATGTTGATTATAATTCACTGGTGTGTGTTGCTCGGAGAGAACCTAAGCATTCTGAATACAATTATTATCTTAGAACACAATCAACTAGCAAATTTGTCACAAACACTGACCGCTTTGGAAATTTTGTAACAATTAAATATGTTTCATTTTTATAATCTTAGTATCTTTACCTTTATTATATTCTATTTCTTGTAATTAGAGCTATACATAAAATTTTACATATACTGTGTAATTCAGTTGTTACTGCAATTCGGGATTAAACAGATTATTATTATACAGGGGCGGATCCAGACCGATACCAACGATGCGAATGCATCAGTCAAAATTGAGAAATCATGTTGCTTGAAATAATATATATACATATTTAATATGCTGTTGTCAATACTTAGTCAAGCACTCCGTAATAGAATATCTTTGAATCTCTCCAGCTATCAAACCGCAAATATTTGCTTAAACTTAACTCCATGTCAGGAATACACTATTTAGGATAAAATCCAATTTAAATAGTCTCAATAACAGTCAAAATTGTCAAAATAAGACCAATATGCGACATGCGATCGCAAATGTGTATTTTCTGTTATTTACTTTGTATTTTGCGACACTTAAGCGTCAATAATTTCGCGACAAAACATTTGACGTCACAGTAGAAAGCTAATGCATCACCTACATCACGGTAGATTTTGGTTTGCATCGATTTTCAGCCATTTTGCATCAGTGAATGCATCGGTCCCGAGTCCTTTTCCGCGTGAAATCTACTGTGACATCATCAAATCTATTGTTTTAGAGCCCTACGTCACGGTAGATTTGTCCGCTGAGCGATGCATCGCATGCAGATTGCGGGCGCTCGCATCAGTTCACTGATGCAAATTGCAAAATCAAAATCTACTGTGACGTAACGAGGCATTCGATTCAAGTCATGGCATGGCGGCAAGGATATGCAAACACTATATGCAAATGAGACAAATAATGGGAAGAAATATCTCTCGAAATTGACGGAGAAAACGGAGAACAAATTACCGAATTAATTACCAAGGCTTGGAATGAATCTAATCTTTCATCTGAGTACAAGAATTGAAGTATATTTATACTGTGAGATGCCCACTATGTGAAACTCGAACTGAGGGCTCTAAAGTAAGTGAAATTTATCTATATTTTACATTGTAGTTCATTGTTCAGTTCAAGAAGTGTATAAAGTGGAAAATGGGCTCCACAGTTAATGCAGATTTGTTTGTATTAACATAATAATTAAAGTTTGTGCCTATATAATACTGTTGCTTATACCAGCAGGGGGGGGGTGGGGTTGGTTGGTTGAGGTAGTTTGACATTTTACAGTCTTTACCGAGTAACAGAGGTTTGCTTGTCTGGAGGCAAACCAGCCCCAATACCAAACTTGACAGCTTGCTTTACTGAGGCAAATTTCATCTCTGTTTACATGGGATTATAACCTGTGCCCAGACCTTCATTTTTCTCACAGCTGGCGGGCAAAGAAAAATGAAGACCTGATACACATGTTATTAAACGTTTGTGTCCTACAACTGCCTTTATGGTTGTAACTCTGATTGGCTATTTCTAGCATGAGTATTCATGCCATATTTAATGTATTTTTTTATATTTTGGTTAATTAATGCTATATATAATTAAATAATTATAGATTTAGTGATTGTAACTATATTTAGCTTGTTGTTAAATTATGTGAAATTGACATTTCTCCTGGCACATTTTGATTGGATACCGGTACTAAAAATAAAACTATGGTGTGGGTCAAGACTTGCATCAGGCTCTGTATGTAATTACAGTGCATAATAATATTGCAGGTTAATATTAATGAGATTTCTAATAGTGATGCAATATTGGTTAGAAGACTAAGGGGGAGTTTACATTGAAAGGTAATTGGTTCAAGTTGCAAGTTCCAGTGGTATCTCCTATTACATTTCATTTTATATGGAAATGAGCTGGCATGCCTCATGACAAGAGTCTAATTGCTTTGCATTGCCTGAGTTATTGGGCAATTACTGTACACTGGATATTTTGCAAACAAAGATGATTACCTGGGCTTGCTCGCTTACCATAGTTGAGTATATATGCTTTGTCTGTGCAAATATAATTTGATATAAGCTGTATATGTCATTCTCCTGACAGATTTTAATCTTAGAATGATAAAATGATGGATGGTATAAATTATACTGTATATAATTGTAACTGCATGGTGTATATAGGTTATAATTATGAAATTTGCTCACAAAAGTGGGATAGTTTGGAAAATATATTTAATTAAATTATATATTTGTATGTTTGCGATGTTACTCTGAGTGCATATCCACACCGGGCGAGCTTGAAAAATATTGTGTACACAACACCAACACAGAAAAATATTCATATTACTAGAACACATTGGTATTGAAGGAATAGATACTGTTCCGAAATATCACTTACTCGAACCGTCCTGACCGCGTATAGCTCAGTTGGAAGAGCATTGGGCTAGTATTCCAAAGGTCGTAGGTTCGAATCCCACCGTGGCCGGGCATATTTTTCAAGCTCGCCCGGTGTGGATATACACTTCACAAATATCATATTCACCTGAGTACACAACACCAACACAGAAAAAATCTGTGAGTCTTTGTTACTTGAGTGTGGGGCAGTTAAACAATGGGAAATGACCATCCTGCTTTGCGTGCAGCACTGTTTGCCTGCGAATCGAGCCTTTCAGAACCGGAAATCGGGCTGGAGCACGCGTTCGTTCTTTTGATGTGACAAAAGAAGCGCGACAAATGGCAAAATTCGCAGGGTGCTCGTTTGTAAAAACAACTGCAAACTGCGCTAATTCTTTCTGCCACTTTCATTTGATATCATCCGTGAGTCGGCCACAACGGCCTTTGATTATAACCTACTGTAACCATTGTACAAATCTGCAGTTACTGTACTTACAGCAGACTTAGCCAATTTAAATTAGGAATACAGTAAGGTTACTTACTGGTAATAGATCTAAAGGGCGTGTACCATCAATACTGTTATCACAGATCCTTGCACCATGTTCAACAAGAATACACGACATCTCTGTACCACTTGGGTGGCCAGCACACATGTGGAGTGGAGTACGACTGAAAATTACAATGAATTAATTTAGAAATTAAACTCTACTTATACTGGATAGTTCCATTTAAATGTTCTATGCAAACTGTTCTCCATTAATAAGTGAAGAATTATTGTATCAGACTCTTACAATTCACAATCTTTGGCACGAACATTGGCTCCGTTCACCAGTAAGATCTGTGCGATTGATTTATTTCTATTGGCAGCAGCTTGATGAAGTGGTGACATGTCATTCGGTCCTTCCCAATTCACCGTAGCACCGCTATAACATCAAAAGAAAGGAGTAGGTATAATAAGCTATGTGGCATTAA